ATTCACAATTAAAACCTGATGTGATTGTATATGAAAGAGCCGATGCCATTTTTTGGCCCCAATACCAATACCTGGCTGTGCAGTAATGGCTGATACCGATACCATACTGATACCGCCTGTTCGAAATTGACGTGTGTGTGCGTATATGAAGAACTGCATATTACTTGGATGTAAAATAATTGCCATCATGGCTTTGTCAAGCCGCTGCCTACCTTTGTGAAACAGGAAAAGGACTAATACAAAGTGAATTTAGTAGAACTTTATATTGCCTACCTGGAATGGGTGACAATAGTTATATAAACTTTTGGCTGTCAAAATGGTATCGGTGCCCTATTTGTTGGTACTCACCGATACCAATACCACCATTTTAGTGAAGGATGCCCCGCCCCATACTGATATCAGCATCTGTGCAATACTAATAAAATCCCCTTTTGAGTGTCAAAAAAATTTGAGAAAATGGCTCCAGTTAAAGTTACTTAAAGATTTAACACTCTGGATTAGTGCTGTAGTCTAACTTTAGCTGTTAGCATTCAGTAATGTACTGTCGAAAACAAACACTGCAAGCCTAAGTTATATAAACAATCACTGTGACACAGAAATTAGTATAAACGGGAAGGCTAACAATCGTGCACATCAAAATAACAAGATTAAACAGAACTTTGGTAGAAATAACCAGAGGTGGATGATTAAGGTTCAGAACATATAAACAGCATTTACAGCAATTATTTCAAACCATTACCATTTTCAGGTCCACAGCAACATCTACCTGAATGCTGTTGCAATTCTTGTGCTGAATACCGAAGCTTGCCTTTGTTGAAATTATTCTACCTTTTGTGATGTACAAAGTAGATTAAATAATTAAATATACACACAAATATATATATATATATATATATATATATATATATATATATATATATATATATATATATATATATATATATAAGGCAAGCTCAGGTATTCATCACCATATACTATACATAAACATTACATGTATTTATATAAATATATCTGTAGAAGTAATACCAAATACTTGGTTGAAGAGTAAGAACTAAAGTTAGCTGTTTGAAAGACATAAGATGTTACAACAGTGGAGTTACAACAATGGTTTATAATAACTTTCACAAAAGAGTTTTCCTCTAAAATACAAACAATAATTTTAACAATTTAATTTAATTTGATCAATCCCTGAGGAGAAATACATTTTTTTTTTGTTTTCATTATTTTATTTCTTTAAAGACGCGTTATAAATACTGATGACTGTATTAAGGCAGATCTTAAAAAAGTCTTTCACTTAAGACCTTCATCTGATATATATTTTAAAAACTTGTATAAGTTATACGAACTGCATACATTTTGAAAGCACTTCTTGCTAAATAAAATGTTTAAACAACATTTGTTTGTATGTCTATTTAAATAATCAAGCAGCCCCTGTGTATAGTTGAAATGAAATAAATCATCTAAGAAGGTAAAACAATGGTTTATAATAACTTTCTATTTCTTAAATATTATGTTGGATGCTGCTGTTGCAGTTAAGATAAAATCTAAGGCTCTTGGAATACAATTTTATATTTGATGTTGTTTCACAAGACAAAACAGGTGAAGAAAAACAGGTGAAAAGAAAAAAAAGTTGTTTCATTTATAAAGGGCAAATAAACTGAAAATGTTCTTGCTGTCCAGGGTACCTGAGGCCCTTTATTTGAAGACTTTAACTGACAGATATAAAGGTCAACAATGTCCGAAGTTTTTATTTTATTTCTATACAGTTTTCTACAAACACCTCCAAAATGTCAGTTCAGTCAGAAACTACACAGTATGTAGTTTTTACAAATTTGGGATTTCAGGGAGAAATTAAAATTTTTAAAATCCTGTATCAGTATGTGGGTGTTTTTTTATATATCTTGAGTGTGTAATTAGATAAGAAACTGCAACTGATGTATCGTTCATAAATAAAAATGAAAATGTACAATGTGTGGCTTTCATTTTTAAGGAATATATATCGCTAGTAAAACTCACCTTGACCAGAGGGGGTGACTTGAGCCAGAGTTAGCACACCCACTGCCATACACCACAGAGACATAGCCATGCTGAGCAGGAAGAGTTAGGACTTCACACCACCAGCTGCAATTTGAGACCCTAGGGAGGAGACAGAGCAACGGTGAAAACGAGAGCGAAGAGCTGCATTGTGTTCTGCCTGTGCACATCTGTGTGCGGGAGCATGCAGGATGATCAGTAACCCACACAGAGAATGAAATGGATTCACGTGAAACAACACAGCAGAGGAGGAATGGAGACAGAGGAAAAAATAGGGAGAGGCAGACAGAGCCAGAGAGCAAAACAGAGATAACAATTGAACAATCCGTGCAGTGAAAAATCACTCAATCTGCTGCTGCCATGGCGACCGCGCAGAGCAGTCTCAAGGAGAAAAAAACGAGGAAGGGAGAATGAGGAGATATGCTTCGTTTATTTGTCTGGGAGTCAAAGTCTATACGATAGAGTTTGTGTTTTAAGTCTACAATTAGCCAGAGGCGAAACTGGCCGCTGACCCATGAAAAGGCCTTGATCTCCCTCCATCACACCAGCTCTCTCTCTCTCTCTCACACACACACACATGCGCAGGCGGACGCCTGCACTCGGTTTAGGCCACTTTTCATCAATCCTAAATAAATGATGCTGCTGAATCGACCTCATCCGTAGCAGGCGTAACGAGGTAAACAGCTGACTGAGGGCGAGGGTGATCCCAGGGCAATTTCATGAGGAGAACATAAGGGATGCAGGCGAATGAGCTACAAGAGAACAACAGTAATATGATTCCTGAATATAAACTGAACTCTTGGCCTCCGACAGAACAGCAGATAGAGGCTAAACTACAACATACGCCGTATTGCATTTCTCCTTCCTGCTTAGCATGCTAATCAGCCGGTTGCTGCAGTGTGGTCTGAAGAACTAAACACTCCGGTTGCAGAACTGATTGGGTGTCCTTGTTTTTATTACCTAATTAGGAATTTTCACTTGTATAACCTTTGACCTTGTCAGTAGCTGTAGTCCTCATGGGGATCAAAGCCGGATTCTAATGAGGTAAAACAAGATTTCTAAGAGCCGAGGGGCGAACCGAATAGTTTAAGGTGAAAGTTAGACACAAACAGATAATTAAACATTATGGTCCGAGCTCTGCTGTAAACCATGAGCGAAAGTCAGTGTGCAGCACACTGTCCTGTTTTTTTTCCACAGATTTATACCCCTCTAACATTTCTGAAATATCCTTTTGTGATATGCTGAGAAAAAATATGGCATGATTATGAAGTAGAAAGACCAATATGGATTTATGAGACTGTAAATCTGAACAATGTGCTGATCATATGAAACCCTGCTTTTATACTCCTAAATTAAATCCACTGAAGCCTTTAGGAGTCATCTAATCATAAAAATACTCAATTGTTGGCAAATATCCACATTACCTGACAAGCTGGGTAAGGAAAGAATTAATCAGAGAAGCAACCGAGAGAATCATGAAAACTGATAAAGCTATAGAGATCCACAGCTCAGGCGCAAGAATATATTAACAGTACAACTGTTGCTTTTTCACTTCAGAAGTCTGACCTTTATGGAAGAATGCACTTTCTGAGTTTTGACAAGTCCTTTTGGCAGTTTGTTATAAGATGTGTAGAGGGTGACACAGCAAACAGTGGAACAAGGTTCACTGTTCATAAAAGACAAATATTAAACTTGGCCTAAATAAAAACACAATGTGCAAAACAAAAAACTAGGGGCCTAAATCCTTTAATACCAAGGAGAAGTTTCATAACAGTATCATGCTGTGGGGATGGTTTTCTTTAGCAGAGCTGGTCAACTCATGGACAAGACAAGACCTGCTACAGGCTAACAGACCTCAGACAGTCCAGCTGGTTCCTCTATCATCATTAAACATACCCTACCTCAGGGGTAACAATCAAAAATCAGCAGGGTCCGAATAAACAAAAAAAACAACTAGTAAAGATCCGGAGACATTTTTAATTATAATCCATTACTTTAAACAGAATTTAACACTGAAATAAAAAGCAGGTTTTTATGCATCAATTTTATACATTGAATTTTTAAACAAAAATATATATAAAAAAATGTTTTCTGAAGTAGAGAAAAGCAATTTTTCAGTTTGGTATATAGACAATTACAAGATTCACATATTTTATAAAACACCCGAACTCACAGTTTGAATTGAGACAGCTCATTGGCTAATTTGTATCACGTGCAGCCTGGTGCCGGGCGCTCAGGAGGGCTTTAACGTATTAGGAGAAGCAGCGCAAGTGAAGTTAGACACTCTCGTCGGACAATATGCGGTAATTTATAAATGTTTTAAATCAGGTTGGGTCCGGATTAGCTAGCAGGTGGGTCCGGATCCGGACCGTGGCCGCTAATCCGTGACCTCTGCCCTAAGTCTACACCCAGGTGTTTTAGATTTAAGTCTGATGTTTATAGACACTTTACACCCAGTCTGACTGAGCTTTAGTTATTTTGGAAAGAAGATCTGTGAAAAACTGATTGAGAAAAAAAGAGGGAAATCACAATAAGGCTTAAATTAGAAGACAACCTGACTTTCATTTCAACACCTTACCAGGAGTCTTTGTCAATTCATTTTGCTCGCACCAGAGCAAACTTGGTGCACTAATGTTTTTAAGCAGCATGGAGGACTTTCCTTCTGCACACATTCCAAGTCATGTTGCCTTCTAATTTAAGCCTGTTTTTTGTTGCCATGACCTGGATGACTTTGAGCTTACATGCAAAGAGAGAAATGTGACTGTGGAAAGGTTGGGTTGACTTAAGGAATGAATACAAAGATCTGAAAAGATATTTAATCTCCCTGTATCTATACATGTAGGTGAAAAACTAAAAAGTGTTTAAATATGTTGTGATGTAGTCACATGTACTCTACAATAACATAAAACGTTAAAGATGTCTTTAATTTGTTTTAACCTAGGTCAAACCTTTTGTTTGCACTCAGTCTTTTAAAGAAAACTGGATGAAAATGTTTCTGCCTCCTGAGGAGTCCTTCATTTATTGAGGTGTTCAGAAAGGTGTTTTTTTCTTATTTCCATGAAAAGAGTTCTTTGATTATTCACTGCTGTGGTCCTCACAGGACCACCAGGTTTTGTATTTTCCTGAAAATAGTTGCCATCTTTTCATCTTACAATCAACTCCACTGTTGACCGAACTTCTGGCTTTTCTACCCTCTCCTACATGTACCTTTTATAGTTTTGAATTATTAGGATGGTCTGTTTCGTTTACAATGAAATTACCTTCTATTATTACGAACTGTCTAACATTTGGAGATTACAACCATCAGACTGCTCACCTGGTTAATAAAAAAGGATCAGCCAGAATTACCCATTTGAGAGCTTCTCTTAGTCAAGTAAAAAATTAAACCTAAGCTCCTGAAACAGAAATCTACATATCAAAGCATTTTATTTTCAGAGATTCCCTCAGTTTCTGATGCGCGTAATCCAACAGTCATATTACTATGACGTGAAAGATTTAGGACTCTTAAAATTGACACTTACAAAAAGACAGCATGAAAGAGAGCTACAGCATTTAGTGGTTGTATTCAAAGTAGCTGCAGTGTATCTGAAAAATGAAGTAATATTCAAAACCCTTAAATTAGCCTCCAATTCCATAAACTGGAAGCATTGGGAACATTTTACATTTCCAAAACTACTGAAATTGATCAAATTTGGCATTTAGTGAGAGAAAGTAAGGAAAATGTTGCAATAATAGCTTCTCACTCAAACGTTTACTGCATGGACTTGGTAATGTTTAAAGGTTAAGCCTTCTTATGAATCACTGAAGTAATATTTAATTGTATAAACACTGTATCTGAGAATGCCAGCCTGAATAATAGAACTGATTCGACGGGTTTTTGTTTTATATTTTTTTCCTCAGACGAAGCATGGTTAATGTCTCCTTGCAGGTTTTTTATTTTTAGATTGGGACCCTGGGATTGGGCTGACCATAACGTTGTGTTGGTGAGCAACCAACATGCTGCTCCCTTATTGCTGTGTTGTTGAAACATTCATTTCCACATAAGGCAACTACTTTTATAAGGTGTATTTACAATGATCCATGGTACTTGGTGTTCAATAAATCTACAAGTCTATAGATTCTAACACTATAATTTATCAGTAAGTCTTGACATAACAAGATTAACTGGGTAATGTCACAATGAATGAAGGGCTATGAACTGCAGAAGGTGATTATTGTTACAAGGAACGGGGAAAACGAATCAGCTGGATGGACAAATTCTGCAAACTTCCCTGAGGAAACATAAGAAGGCCGGCATAAATAACACAGAATGAACACAAAATGGGAAACAGGGGGAATCACATAAAAGTCACCAATTATAACTAACACAGAACAAGCTGAAAGAGCAAAACTAACCGTAATAACAAGGAACTTTGCACTGATATGTCCTGGGATCATGAAAATAAACCTTTTTAGTTAGAGGTTGCAGCTCATTCTAAGCACAAAGGAACAGATGAACGCCAAACAAAAAAGAAAGGTGCCATAAGACATGCTGTGAAGATAAAAAGAAACCATCTATTCTCTTACACAGTCATTTGTTTTGTTTTTGTCACACTTGAATGTTTTCAAGTAATCAGGCAAACTAGTTTCAGACACAGATATTATGAGTGATTACAGAAATTGGTTTTAAAATGTAAATTTTAGGTGCAGCAGTGGTGCAGGAAAGGGTGGCATGTGAGACTCAGTCCAAGTCACAGCTGTCTTTGGTTCAAAAGTTAATAAATAATGTCCCAGTCTAAAATGATGCATTACAAAGTATAGAAAAGTGTTAAAAATGTGCCATTTTATGCCTCTGTTTATAAATTAAAAGACTAGAGGGACAATATGCAGACCGCATTCAATGTAGGGTTTGAGGGGAAATCACTACAGACCAAAAGAAACATAAAATGATTTGCAAATCTTGTTCAGGACCAAAGTGTCAACAGGACATTGGCAAAGGCATGATGAGGATATCTTTTTTAAAGAATATTAGCTTAAACTTAGAAGACATACAGGTGGAGAGCAGTGGAGAACCCAGCAATTAGAAAACAAAACCCAATGCTTAAAATCAGAGAGGGGTAATC